TGGCCTACTGCCACTCCATTCCCTCTCTTCCAGCACGCTTGCACAATACCACTCCAGTGCGCGCGGACTCTTTATTACATTTTTTTGTTAAGTCTTGCTATACCTACCGTACCCAACTCCTGTTCCTCTCATGTTTTTTGCCCCGTGTCTTTCAGGAAATTCCTACTCTTGTCCTCCTCTGTGTTTCAAATTTGTCGGAAAAAGATTGAAATGCACTCCTTCTTCTTCTTCTTTTTATAGAAATGTAAGAACTAATTGATTTTTTTTTTCTTTTTGAAAAATGCAAACAACTGTTGTCACAGTGATTTGCTCGCAAGAATAATGGGTATTTAGAAATCCAAATTAACTTAAAATCCATGAATATTCATAGAAACCAACTTAAATAAATAGTTTTTAAAGAATATTTTGAGTTATATTGAACAAAAATATAAATATTCTTAATTTCAATATGAAACTCAATTCAAACTTAATTTAAAATATATGTAAAATATTTATATTTTTTTATTAAATAAGATTTATTTCTATCTTATTATGTTCCAGATACACTCAAAAATAAAAAAAATTAGTTATTAAATTATAATTTAATTAAATATTCATTCAAATAACCCTCTTCTTCAAAATAAAAAAATAAAAATTATCTCTTAATAAATGCTTCTAAATATCTATAAGAAATCTTCTTTTGGAAGATTTAAGGACTATCATATAATAAAATTAATAATTTTATAGAAAAAAATAATAAATATATTAGATGACATTAAATTCCAAGAACAAGATTATTCTTATGTTGAATATAAATTTTTTTGTAATGTAAAGTCTTAAATGTTTATATAAATAGTTTGAGGGATATTTATAGCTTACAAACCTTTTTTTATTAGTTAAAAGGTTGAAAAGTCATTTTATCTTAATAACATTAGTAAAGGATACAAATCTCTTATACATACATTAACGAGAAAAAAAAATAATTGGATTTAAGATACTTATTGGGCACATAAACATTATAATATATTACTGCAAAAATTAAGGCTAGAGCCCACAAGGTTTAGGCACATGCCTAATGTCTAGGGTATACCGCACAAGCCCATAAAATTTTAGGCTTGGGTATACAACCTGACCTCATAAGGTATTAGGCATATGCCCATCACCTAGGCTTGGGCATATTATCTAAAGTTCAAAGGGCGCTCGATATTACCCCATGATTATTCTTGAAACATATTATGGGCTTGTGCCAAAAGTGAACATCTTTTTATCAAATATTAAAAAATATCAATAAATCTTGCTCTATCAGTAGCTCTTCAAGTTTGTGTGATATTTTTATTGAAGAGACTTAAAAAATATATCAATTTTCTATAACAGTATTCTCAATATTTTTTTCATATAAAAAGAAAAAAGCAAAAGCATCTTAAGACGTTTTAGTAGAGTATTTACAAGTGAAATGACATTATAGTTGAAAAAGCACTCATCTTGGTTGGATGAATACCTGGTGGAACACTTCATGATAGTATTGATTACCTCATTAAGGATTTGTGAGAGTAGTGGCATGTGTCACTAATCCAGCAGAGGATAGGGAAGACCTCCTCCTATATAAAGACCTTATTCTCTTCATTCAATTCATTTAGAGTCTCTCTCTAAAACTTTGTTCTAAACCATTGTATAAAGATGAATAATTATGTGGAAGCATTTAGTTCATGTGAGATGTGATAACTTCTTGGAATAGTAGATGTCATTTTAAGATGACTTACTCCTCCTTAGCATTTTCCATTCAAAATGACCACTAATAGAGGGAAACATGTAGTATCTAGTACTGACTTTATATTTGGACCATGACAACTAGAAATTAGGGGTTTTATTGGTGGACTAGAATCGATAAGGAATGGATCAAAAACTGGAGGGTTGGTGTCGCTCACTAAAAAACCTTTGGTTACCTAGGGCTCTTAAGGACAATAGGAATAATGCCCTAACTACTAAACATATATCCAAGGTCAACTGTCTACAAGGAAGAGATTATCTAGTCTAGATAAAAAAGAATTAGTAAATAATCCAAGGGTGCTCGTAATGGTTTATATGAAATAACAACCCTCGTACCATGTTTGAGTTAGGATATACCTTTCCTCTATGAGTTTTATAAGAGATATGCTTTTCCACTATAATTAATGTGTTAGCCAACTTCATCCTAACATATGGGTTTTAGTCAAATATTTTCAAGAGTATTTTGCAACTATAAGGGTGAGTTAAACCTAGATATATTTAGATATTGTTATACATCAAATCATTGTCTTTAAAGGGGCCATGTTATTCATTAGTTCTTCACTTTTATTAGTCACCCTAAAAGTCTTATCAAGAATATATCAGTGGATAAGATCTCTAATATGAAGGATTAATGTGCAAAATATTTAATTGTAAGGAGTAACAGACAACCTATCCCAGGCCATATGCAAGAGTTGTGGGGTTACCATTATTTTTAGCAAACTTTTCATCTAGATGCCAATGAAAAACTAAGTTTTGGTAACTTTGACCAAGTTTGTGTTTAAATATGGTGAGGTATTCCTTTCATTATAATATCAACTAGTTGGCTAAAAAACAATACTAGGTAAAGAGGTAGGATATGTAAGAATTTATAATTTGTATAATTTGATATATTTATCATATTTTAACTTTGTTTTATTGTAGATTCAAAGTCTCATGGGAAGGATAGTGAATGAAGTGTAGAGGTTCAAGGGACATCCAGTTCTTGGATTATAGGGATGGAAGAGATTCGTCAAGAGATGGATATCACTGCTAACATTAAACCTCTATCCTAACTTACCCCTTATTATGAAAAGTCAATCACCTACCTCTAGGGGAGAAAGGAAATTGTTTCCCCTAATATTCTTTTCAAAGTAGCTAAGAGGGCTAGAGTGAGGAAAAAAAAGTGTTCATTTCATGGGGCAATGCAAACCTTATGACCATGTAATCCGTAATAAAGATTAAGATCTGATCTTGAAAAGCTGGAAGAGGTTTGATAGGTGTGTGACACAATAAAAACCTACCCCAAGGCATCAACATTATTAGAATGAAGTCAAATGATGCCACGAAACTAGTTAATCTTTGATAAGTCAGATTTGACTCATTCAAGAACCCAAGAATGGTAGAATCTCTCACTTGTCAAACTAAAAAGTTCATAAGTGTTATACATCAAAGGCCAATGAAACTTAACCTTATAAGAGTTTAGGTGTTTTTAAAAGATTAACCCTAATAGATCTACCTTTATGGGCTGAATTGGTCCACCTACAAAACTAACCCAAAACCTATACTAAAGCCCAAACCCTAATCCAAACAAGTCTTGTATCCTAACTAAAAAAAAGTATTACTTAAACCCAAAAAAAAGCCTTGGGTTATAATTAAAATATTAAAAATATAACTTATAAGTTAATTCCTTATGCTTCTATGAGAAAAGAAGAAGAAAAAAAATGATACAAGTCTGATATAAAACTTATTTATAGCCTATAATATTACCAAATGATCTTAGAAACTAATTTGTCATTAAATACCACTAACTCGCATTTTCTTATATAGCTAGGGTGAATAAAGAATCTTTATAAGAAAAGGATTTTGAATCATTGTTACACTTGAAAATTATGTTATGAATTATTAAATATCCTTGTAGAACTAGAAAATTTTCAAAAAAAGGTCACCAAATCCTTGTAGGAAAAGGATTATTGTCAAATAGAAAGTCCACAAATCAAAACAAAGTAAATAATAAAATTTATATATTTTGTTCAGACATTTATTGTAAGGCCTTTTTGAACTTCGATTCACCTAAAAAAATTTCCTAACATCAAAAAATACCTCTAGAATCCAACGGTTTGATTTGAAGTTATATTTAATAATATAAAACTAGATGGTATGAAATTTTAACCTAAAACTCAATTATGACCTTTGATTAGATCATATCACATAGGCTTTATTTTGTTAATGGAGGAGTAACATCCATACTCGTAACTTGACACCATTTTTAACACCTTCTTAAGTGGTCAGATCTACAAAGGATTTTGTTGAGGTTCCTACACCCCAAGTTGTTGTTAAGGGTTTTACATCTCAGATTGGACCATCTAATCCTGGAGCAAGTTCCTCTTATATTGGACCATGGATTGGCTTTGCAATTCCTTCTTTACTATCCTTATCTAAAGAGGAGATGAACATTTTGCAACACTTCATAGGAGAAAATGACATTGTGTTAGGATTTAATGGCATAACAATGATGGATATGATGGACATGTTATTGGATCTCTCTTTTGATGTTGATAAGCTATCTGATCAGATTTTTTCTTGTCACCTAGCTCTTATTGGGCAGCTTCTACTTCATGTGAGCACTTTATCTAGCATACCTTGTTATATGTACTTATATCTTTTTATTATTATTATTATTATTAATATCATTGTTTTATTTAGAGTTCCCTATTGAATGCCTATTCTCGAAGATGTTGGACTACTAAGAAGGTTCATATAAGGGCGACCCTAATTTAATTAAGAGGAAACCAATAAGAAGTACGAAGCCTTTATGAGGTAAAACTAGAAACTCAATTAAGGGAGATCAAGGAGGTTTATGACATTTATGTCAATGATTCTCAAGAAGTTGAATGAGGATAAAGATCCTCAAGATTCTAAGATGAGTGTTGCCTTGGAAAGAGTTTGTTTGTCTAAGGAGGCATCATCTTTCCTAATACAGTCCTATTAGGTTTTAAAAGTAGAGATGTTAGCTTTGAAGACCAAGATGGCTATGACTAAAGATAAGGCAAGGCTTTTAAAAAGGAATGTGCTCGTTTGAGTGTGTTAAGGTATTTGTCTAATGAGTTCATAACAATGTTTGGGGGATCTCAAGCTTTTGATATATTTATTAGAGATAAGATATTCTAGGTTATGTCTAACCTTCACTTTTATCATCTATTGAGGGGAATAATAGTGGACTTCTTAGTGGCATTCGACCTCAACCTT